ATTATTTCCCCTCCTTTACCCATTCAGACTTTGTCTTGATTCCTGTATCACAAAGCCCTGGTATTCCAATGTTGAGTATATATCATTATTTACCTCTATCTCATTTAGCTCATGCATACCTCCCTAAGGCTATTATAAATAGTATTGTTTTCCTAATTCCTATCTTCCTTGTTCATCTTCCTCTCCCACTCCCTCTTATAGTATTGCTCTCCCCCTCCATGTATACTGCCCTCTCCATCACCCGAGCTATCATACATCTTTCTATCCCCTACCCTGTGAAGTACTGTCCCCTCCCTCTCACCCCTGGTAACCATCAAAGAATTTTTCTTTTAGTATGGAAATCTTTTCTTGAGCTTTTATAATAATGGTCTTATGCAATATTTGTCCTTTTGTATCTGACAAATTTCACTCCACATAATGTTCTCAAGGTTCATCCATATTATGTGGTATTTTGCAGCTTCATTGCTATTCTTCAAGGTAGCACAGTAGTCCATTGAGTGTATGTACTATTTGTTTATCCATTTTTCCATTGATGGGCACTTAGGCTGTCTCCAACCCTTTGCTATTGTGAATAGTGCTGTGATGAACATGGGTGTGCATATATCTACTCATGTTATGGCTCGTATTTCTTGTGGATAAATACCAAGTAGAGGAATTGCTGGATCATAAGATATTTCTATTTCCAACTTTCTGAGGAAGTGCCATACTGTTTTCCAGAGTGGTTGAACTATTTTACAGTTCCACCAGCAATGTAAGAGGGTTCCAGTCTCCCCACACCCTCACCAGCATTTGTTATCCTTGCTTTTTGAACGTCACTGTTAATACTGGTGTGAAATTGTATCTCATTGTTGGCTTGATTTGCATTTTGTTAGTGGCTAATGATCATGGACATTTCTTCATGTTTATTGGCTGCCTGAATGTTTTCCTTTGTGAAGTGGATGTTCATGTCCTGTACCTATTTTTTAAATTGGGTTATTTGTCTTTTTCTTATATAGGTGTTGTATTGTTGTTGTTGTTAAGTGCTGTTGAGTCAGTTCCAAGCCATAGTGATCCTGTATAGGATTTCTGAGAGCCGTTGGTAAGCTTTAGCCACCAATCTTGTGGTTCAAACCGACTTTACAATCCAGAGCATTAACCCACAGCACCAATAGTTTCCTATAAATTTTAGAGATTAGTCCCTTGTCTGATAAGTTGTTGCAAAAATTTTTTCCCTAATCTGTGGGCTCCATTTTTATTCTTTTGGTGAAATCTTTTGATGCACATAGGTTTCTAATTTTTAGTACGTTTCAGTCATCTACTTTGTCCTCTGTTGTTTGTATGGTTTCTGCACTGCTTGATAGTCTATATATGCCATGTATTCCAGCCTATAAAATTTCCCCTATTTTTCATTGATGATCTATATAGCTCTGGAATTTACATTGAGGTCTTTGATCCATGTTGTGTTGTTGTTTTTTTTTTTTTTTATATGGTGTGAGATAGGAGTCTTGTTTCATTCTTTTGCAAATCAATTTACAGTTTTGCCAGCACCATTTGTTGAAGAGACTATATCTTCCCCATTTCATGTGTTTTGGCCCTTTGTGAAAGATCAGTTGACTGTATGTGGATGGGTTTAATTCTGGGTTCTCAAGTTTGTTCCTTTGGTCTATATATCTTTCATTGTACCAATCCCATGCTGCTATGACCACTGTAGCTATGCAGTAAATTTTGAAATCTGGTAATGAGAGGCCTCCATCTTTGTTCTTTTTAAGCAGTGCTTTGCTTATCTGAGTTCTCATTCCCTTCCATATAAAGTTTGTAATCGTGCTTTTCCATTTCTTTAAAGAATGTTTTTGGAATCTGTAATGGAATTGCATTATATTTGTAGATTTCTTTGGGTAGTATTAACATTTTCAGAATGTTAAGTCTTCCTATCTATGAGCATGATATAATCTTCCATATATGTAAATCTCTTTTGGCTTCTTGTAGTAGTGTTATGTAGATTTATTTGTATAGATCTTTTGTTGCCCTGGTAAGATTTATTCCTAAATACTTCATCCTTTGGATGGCTATTATAAATAGTATTGTTTTCCTAATTTCTTTTTCAGAGCTATCTTTATTAATATAGAAGAATCTAACTGGTCTATTTTAGAGAATGTTACATGTGCACTGGAGAAAAATGTGTATTGTGCTGTTGTTAGATTGAATCTTCTGTTCAAACTTTTGTGGTCAAGTTGGTTCATTATGCTGTTTAGTTCCTCTGTGTCTTTGTTGAGGTTTTTTTTTGTGTGTTCTGTCCTTTTTCAAAAGTGGTGTATTAAAATCTCACACTATTATTGTCAAGTTGTCTATTCCT